TTGTAATTGTAAAGCAAAAATGTTGGATAGTATATGTGGTTTGTTCAATTGTAAACAAAATTGTAACATTACCATTCCCCTTTGTCCCAGTAAATTTTTTGACCCCATAATACCATCATAGTGTTATACACCATAATAGCATCATAGTGTTGTACCCCATAATGTCATCATAGTGTTATACCCCATAATGCCATCATAGTGTTATACCCATATTAGCATCATAGTGGTATACCCCATAATGCCATCATAGTGTTATACCCCATAATAGCATCAGTGTTATACCCCATAATAGCATCATAGTGTTATACCCCATAATAGCATCATAGTGCTATACCCCATATTAGCATCATAGTGTTATACCGCATAATACCATCATAGTGTTATATAATTTTGGCATAGAATTTCCTGTATGACCCACCCCCATGGGCTTCTTAATGTAAACATATGTTCCCTCTGCTTCTGCACGAGTCCCACTTGTCACAAAGAGCTACTCATTGGGCTGAACGTGCTATGAGAACTTGTGTAGAAGTACATGGGCAGTTCATTGAGGGGATGCACTTTTGACATACTGTTAAATAATTAATATTTATCATTTTTAGATACCCCTCCCCCGCGTATTGTATATTACCTATTTTGACAAGGTTATCTATCCAAATTTAATGATGTATGTTACTTATGAGCACTGTTATTTTAAAATACTTTTTTAAACCACCAAGGTACAAGATGATGGTTTTAAAGAAACCAAAGAGCAATATTTTCATTGATATCGTTCATTGTCGGTTCTAACGACTATATATTCAAAACATTATGTATAAACCGCTCTTATACTACAAAAGAAAAATATACAAATTCTTGTATAAAAACTGAGATTATGAACTGAAACAAATGAAAGAAAATGAACATAAATACAAATAAATTCACAATAACTCAGATAAGAAGTAATTCTTTATGTCAGTATCTTAAAATTATAAATTAAAATTTCGAATTCCCTCTTGAATTTGTGAATTTATTTACACTAACTTTCTTGACTGTCTTGATCCCCATTATCTTATTTGCCTGTGAAACCAAAATAAAAATCTGTGTTTACTCTCTCTCTCTCTCTCTCTCTCTCTCTCTCTCTCTCTCTCTCTCTCTCTCTCTCTCTCTCTCTCTCTCTCTCTCTCTCTCTCTCTCTCTCTCTCTCTCTCTCTCTCTCTCTCTCTCTCATCACTTTTCCAACTACGTTGTTGTTCTTGTTCTTGTCTACGTTAACTTTTAGTATGTAGCTCATTTATTCCGAGATTGTGATGTGTATAGTCCTGAAACGAGGCTACAAATCGTAGCTAGCACATGCAGATCACATCGACCTATTTTATTTTTTTTTTACATTCCATTGATTCCATTCAGTTTTTGCATTTATCTAACACAGCTTTCTGTATTATCATGAATCTTGATGGCATATTGAACGGTACTGGTCACTAGAGCTGGGTACTATGAAAAATTCTGTAACGTGGTATTCATTTTTTTTAATATACCGCGAGACGTACAACGGTACACTGCAATTGTATTAGAGACCAACAACTGAATTTTCTGGGATATGGGTATATGGGCATGGGATATTCTTTTAAACAAAATTTCAGGATCTCAAACAGCGGGAAAACTATCTTCCTCTGATTTATAGCAATATAACAACATGTTATACCCATTACATTGTTTGAAGAAAACACTATCTTGAGAAAAAATATCGGCTCCAAAAAAGATAGCAGCCTAGTCTGAATTTCCTCTGACCCTTGCCACCCAATTTTTTCTAAAATATACTTCTACATTGATGTTGGGGTGTAGGGTCAGAGTCAACTGCCTATCGAAAAGTTGAAATTCCCCGACACCATTTTGTGTCGGCATATGGTAGCCGCTTACTAGCCGGCCTAGCAGACTTGAAGAACCTTTCAACAGGATATGCCTGCATGAAATCGAGAGGAATATGATTTATTTTCTCAAAAATTGCGAGCATAGCATTCGTCATATCTTTAATCCGCCGACAGACCAGACGAAAGTGCATCTTTGCTGAAATTTGACCTGCATGGATCTCGCCATACGACTTTAGTAAGGCTTTCGATCGTGTCACCCATGAGTTTTGGATCACCATGGCATCAGAAGTTATACCCTGAAACGGATCAGAAATTTGCTATCAGACAGATCGCAGAGAGTTATAGTAGATGGAGCAACATCAGACACAACACCGGTTGCTAGTGGGGTACCCCAAGGGAGTGTTTGGTGTCCCTTCCTCTTCTTGGTGCTTATCAATGATCTACCTGCGAGGGTCAAATCAAACACTAGACATTTTACAGATGACTGTATAGTCTCCAAGGACTGTGAAATCCTTCAAGAAGACCTGAACCAACTGGCCCTCTGGGAAAGAACTTGAGGCATGTCGTTCGATCCAAGCAAATGCAGCATACTACGAGTTTACAGAATGAAATCACCAGTCTGGTCCGAATATACTCTCATGGGGCACAAGTTAGCCAATGAACATGCAACAAAATATATCGGGGTTGATTTGTCCAGATACCTCTCTTCGAAAAGACACATAGACAAGAGAGTATTAAATGGGAAAAGTAACCTTGGTTTCCTGCGCCGCAACCTCCAGATCAACAATGAAGAAGTTAAACGCGCAGCATATTTCACTTTGGTTCGACCAGGTCTTGATACCTCGACTGTGTGGAACCCACATAATGAAGATCTAATAAATAAGATAGAGATGGTTCAGAGGGGAACTGCTTGATTCACCACAAATAAATATCATAACACTGGTAGTGTCAGTGCAATGTTGAACCATCTCCAGTGGGAATCACTCGAATCCAAGCGAACCAAAGCCCAGCTGACCATGTTGTGCAAGATAAGATTACGACCAACCTAGTGGACACACCAGCGGACAAGTACCTTGCCCTGGCATATAGCCAAACTAGGGCAAACTACAGGGGAGGGGGATTCCAATTTAAAGTCAGCATCGACAAATTGTTTCAGCATCTTCCCATGTACAATAATGACTTGGAACAAATTACCAGCATTAATTGCAGAAGCTCCTGACTTGGTATCTCATAAGCAGGAGCTTTCCAAAATCATATTCTAATGAACTAGTCAGCTAACCGTTAGGGTGATTTCATGTAGTCAGAAATTTCGTCATGCTTTATTGATAAAACTGCAGACTCCTGTGGTCTGAGTATGAAGGAACGAAAACGTACACTTACTCTTTTACTTATTTCTGCCTTTCCTATCATTACTCTTCTGACTGTCCTATCACTTCCGTCTTTACTTTGTCTTTGACCACACACCAAACGTTGCTTAACAGTCAAGTGTGACTGTATCAATATATTTATAGATAGATTTGCATTCCGAGTCACACGACTATACTAGCTACAACGTCGTAGCCTCAACTTGTTTTGTTGTGGTAGGTAGGACTAAGGTACTAATATTAAGTATTAATGACTATATGAGTCTGGCAACCTACATGTTAATATACATGTAATATAGTCACGTAAGGTGCATGTAATATAGTCACACAGCCTACATGTAATATAGTTACGTGATGTAGACGAAACTCGCATTTCCCCAAGTTGTTGTACATAGAATTTGCAAATATTGTATAGAAGTCACTCAATATTTGGAAACAAATATGGTGCACACTTAATTCTCAACATTTATTCTGAGAACAATGACCAGAAACCTGTCAGAATCGCTAATTAGGTGGAGAAAACCATTTTCTACAAGTACCCAGCACGTGTCAGCGATGGTTTTGTTAGTATTACGTGATTGCTGCATTGTCCTGTGCTCTCTGCTTAGTGCATTTGGTTCTCTTTACGTTGCTGTAACATTTACATATTTTCAGTCTTTGTTTTCAGAATAAATATTTTGAGAAGTTTGTGTTATTTCATTTTCTATAAAGATTATCTTACTTTCGTTTATGTGTTCGATTTGTTTTCAGCAGCAACACTATAAATACATCTAGTTTATTGTTGATATCACGTGACTATAAACCTCTGATGTCACTAACTTGTGGAATGCGAGATTTGTATAGTTATTTGACTCATAATGCAAATAACGAGATCCAGGTCAAATTTCAGCAACGATATTCTCTCGTCTGTTAGCAGATTAAAGACATAATGAATGATTTGCTCACAATTTATGAGAATATAAACCATATTCCTACCGATTTCATGTAGGAATATCTCGATGAAAGCTAGACCAACCAGTAGGTCTCTGCTTTTTTTATCTGACAGCAGCCTGACAGCAGCTGTCAGATTATTAAAAAAAAGCAGAGACCTGCATGTTGGTCTAGATGAAAGCTTGTTCAAGTTTGCGAGGCCATGTACAACAAAACAAGCTGAGGCTACGACATCGTAGCTAGTAAGCAGCTACCCTACTGGTGTTGTCGAATTCCAACTTTTCGATAGGCAGTGGACTTGATCCTACACCCAAAAAAACAATGTCAAAATAACAAAGGGTCAGAGGAAACACGGACTAATCTCAGCCCGGCCCCCTACCCGCTAATTAAATGGTCACTACCGTACACTTACAGTAGACGAATTTGCTATGTTTATATTAATTATCGTGTACGTTGTGGTGTAAAAACTACGTAAAGTGTGTATGTATGTATGTATGTATGTATGTATGTATGTATGTATGTATGTATGTATGTATGTATGTATGTATGTATGTATGTATGTGTGTGTGTCTGTGTGTTATTTGGATTTTTAACGTAGGTTTAACAACTTTTTTACTCATATCACTACGAAGTCGGCAGTGTGTCATTTTATAGTGTTGTCTAGCCCAGAGCATCATGCCGCAGACATCTAGCATATATGATGTTTCAGCCAGTCACATTATCCTGACAATAGACAAACCAGTCTTAACACTAACATCCTAATGCTAAGTTATGGAACACCAGAACTATATTAAGATGATAACTTTACTGAGCGCCTAGCGAGGCAACTGTTAAGTACCATTTTTATAAGTCTGTGGTATGACTTAGCCGGGGTTTGAATCCTCGACCTCCCGCATTCGAGGCGGACGCTCTAACCACTAGACCACCCGAGAGGTCGTACGTAAAATGTGATGATTAAGTTTGCACTGTAACTGACGACCTGTAAAGATATTGTGCTGATATTGTAACGATTGTTGATAAATATCGGAAATGTTGACACTGACGCTGACAAGTTACTTGTTACGCTTTTGATATAGTATGCAGGGAAACTGGAGATGTTTATCGAAGAAAGTCAGAAAACAAATTCAGTGACCCGACAACGAAAAAATATTTAGTGGACGAGATATTTTAGGTAAACTTCACACAGAAAACTGCTGAAAAACATATGATGATTTGTATTGTTACAAAAATACGTGTACTTAACACATTAAAATACGCTAATAAATAACAAACAAAATTAGTTTTTGCTTTTTCAGTGCGAATATTTTTAAACGCTTCATTTGGCCCGGTTATCTTTCACAAGATCCCATTCCGCAGCCATATTGACATATTTGACACCTTTAATTATTAAATGATTATAAATATAAGTATATTTCTAATATTCTAATTTAATTTGCGACTAACACAACTATTGTGTAAAGTAAATAGTAATGACTTTTGCATTTTTTTATCAAGAAAAATGAAAGCATGCTTTTAATATTATTTAATTTGTAACAAGATTTCTCGGGAATTTCCCTACATTCCTAATTTCTGACTGAAAGTACCGGTTCAGTGAAAATGTGCGGTGGTTGGTACCACTGGAATTAAGTACCGATTAGTAAATCGATATATCGATCATGCCGCGCATTTCAGCTATTCACCATGGGGGGGAGCAGGCCAGATCAGCTACTTTCGTCATTGCATTAATGTAAGCTGCTCTGTGTACAGTCATGCAATGTTATGTATATTTCATGATGTCCAAAACGTAATAATCGTCATTCATTTTGTGTTCCACTTTGTATGAAAATAAGTTATGATACGATAGGATAACATAAAATCATGTATTATCTTTCATCCAACAGAATAATATTACAATGTGAGCAAACTCTAGTATTAAATATACAATATAATTGAACACTAGCACCCCCCCTCTCTCACTCTCTCTCTCTCTCTCTCTCTCTCTCTCTCTCTCTCTCTCTCTCTCTCTCTCTCTCTCTCTCTCTCTCTCTCAGCGCACGCATATAAATGCTTAAACTAAATTTCATTTAATTAAAACATTTTAATGTAACCCCATAATATTTATTATAATATAAACAAATCTCACAAATAGTTGCTAGCAAATTTACTGATGAACTGATTGGTACATCACTTCTATTAAACTGGTAACGATAAACATCACAATAATGACATTATAATAATACAACATACAAAATGTGAGAAATGCTGTTACTTTTTATATAAGCAATTTAAAGAATAAAATAAAATGTTGATTAATCAATTAATATACAGAATGACATGTATGCGTCCAAGCTCCCCGTTCTTGATACAGTTCCGAGTTGGTGTTTTTTTTTTACATTCAAAATCAAAACCAATTACAATTTTGCAAAAAAATGGTTATTCACTCAACCATGTCTCAACCATATTTTAGGCTGTTCCAATCGTTATTGCCACACTTCCGGTAATGTTTTTTGTGACCTTTGGACTCGACCGAATTGCATTGTGTTGTGCAATACACATACATTAGATAACGCCAGTATAAAAAGAAGGCAACTGCCTTTAGATTTGCTCCTAACTGACGGGATACGCCCGTTTAGTAGGAATAACTGTGTCGTCTTATTTTAGCGGCATAAGTTGAAACTCTGCTGTCTTAATTTCGCTGAGCAGAAAACTTTCGAGTTTTCACAAATTTCGGTTCTGCCCGAGTCGGGGAATTTTTCAGCTCGACATCTGAACTTATCGTTCATTCATTTAATTTGTTTTGAACTTGATTCACTTCACATTGTCTAGCATATCGACAAGTGAAATTAAGCTTGAGACAATTCTAAAAGTGTCATTGTTTAACCGCACAAGGAAGAGCTCGGTACATAGTGGTATGCTACAAGTCTGTCATTTTTTTCAAGCTACAGGAAAATGCAGATTTGGTAAGCATTGTCGATTTAAACACATTTTTAAAGAAGGAGAGGCATTGTCTGCAATAACTCTTGATTGCACAACCGATTCAAACCTTTCAGTAGCAGAGCCAGAATCTCAAACTCAGTCAAGAAGTACTATTTACAGTCACACAGGTATTAAAGAAAACCAAGATGAAGAATTAAGTGGTGAAAGCTTCTCTGACAGGCCCCTTTGCTGGGCATTTTCAGAGCGTGGGTGGTGCAGATTTGGACAACATTGCAGATATTTGCACATCAAAGTTAGAAAACCTTGGGTGAATCGGAACAGAGCTGGAGTTGAACCTCATAGTTTGAAGGAAAACCAAGATGATATTGATCCAGTTCAAGAGAATTTATATCCACATGAATCAGAAAAAACCTCCAATAAAAGGAAGATTTGTAAAACCTTTGCAGATCGGGGTAGTTGCCGATATGGGTCAAGGTGCCAGTTCCTCCATTTCAAGCTTGTAAAGCCAGAGGCTTTTGCATCACAGTTAGAGAATGAAGAGGAGAAAGAAGAGAAAATTTCTATTAAAAAAGGATCATTTTCTGAATCTCTTGAGGCACCAAAACAAGATAATGCAGAAAGTCTTCTTGAGAAGGAAACGGCTGTATCTGCTAAGCAGACAATACCCAGAAGAATCTGTAGATTTATCAAGAGTGGAAAATGTAAGTTTGGTAAAAGTTGCAAGTTTTACCACCCACAAGATCCTTTAGACATCAAAAATGAGTTGCCTGAGGAAAGACAAACTTCAGCTGTTGACAAAACCATGGAAATAATTAAAGAGGACAAAATTGAACAAGATAAAATGACAGATGAAAGGTATAAAGTACAGCAGAATCTGTCTGAAAAACATACTCCCTTCAAACCCCAGGGATTTATTCCAATATACAAACGAGGTGAAGCTACCACAGAACAGTTAATGGAGTTGAGAGAGATTGAAATCAAGCAGCTGAAGAAGAGATTTACCAGAGATACCCTTGCAGTTACAGAGGAATCAGAGGAGAGATTCACATGCAGGATTGCCTTTTCATCAAGTGATCCAGATTGGGTTAGTTGATTTCCTTCCTTTAATTTATCAGTCTTAATGCATTGTATTCTCAGTGGAACTGAGATAAATTTAATTTGCAATTTAAAATTGAAGGTTCAAGACAAGTTCAATTATCAGGCTAGATGTTCTGTATTTAAATAAATAAAATTCAAGAGTATTAATTTGTGAATTATGCCTTTTATGAAGATAAAAGATAAACTACATGCATTAAAATGTGTGTGGTAGGTAACATCTGATTGTTATGTAAATCATGCATTTGTTTCTATTTTCTTTTTCTCTTGTCACATCACATCATCACAGAATTATAATAAATTTTTATTATATCAGATACTCTGATAAGCTTACTTTTGTCACAAGATGATCATATTTTAAACCATGAAACCATTATACATTCTTTTTTGTCCTTTTTTCGCCAGCCTTTTGATGTAAAAGTGTTCGATTTGGAGCTGGATTTTCCCACATCATACCCAGAACAGGTACATGTAGTAACTATACAATAACAGTAACTGTTACTGTTTGTAGCTTAGAATTGGTGTAAATAAAGACCCATCTCACTGTACTTTTCCATCGACTAACTATAAAATACGTCTTTCAAATCTCTCAACATTCATTCATTTTAATTTTGAAAATCTAGACTGCACAGTAAGTCTTACTTGAGCCTTGTGGTGGAAAAAGCACATCGGAAGACATGTGGCTGCTTTAATAATTTAGTTGAGTTTGCAAAATGGACTGTTTAAATTTTTAAATGGTAGATTTCTTTTAATGAACTGAAGTTCATACTTTTTACATTGTTGTATTTTTTAAATTGAAAAGGTTACATAGTTTTTTTATGTGAAGAGGTTTAAGCCTGTGATAAAATGCTGAAGTTTAAATATAATTTGACTTGCATTAATGTAAATGAAAAATAATGGAAACATCATGCAAAGGTAATGGAAGCCCAGTGCCAATCCTAAGGCTGCACTGAGATGGCCACCTAAGCATGCCTCGGTTGGTAGCGAACAAACAGCCCTTGGATTATAAGTTGAAGCTACTATGGATTTTGTTTTTATAGATGCTCCAGCCTTGACATTTTCTTTCATTAACATTTGTTCCAAAATATGCTGTTTATATCTGTCATTGATTTAATAATACTCTTGCATTTCAGCTGTTTTCAGTTACCTTGCCTAGTGATCAAAATTTGCCTGAGACAGTCAGAAGGTGGGTACAATATATTGCATATGTGTGTTTTGTGTGTATGTGTATGTTTTATATTTTTAACATCGTTTTTAAAAAAATTTCAGAGATATGGCTATGTTGTCTGCAGTGGGGCAGTTTATAGTGATGTCTAGCACTCTGGCATCATGCTGCAGATCATGTCCTACCCAGTCACATTATCCTGACACCAGGCCGACCAGTCATAACACTGACTTCTTAATGCTCAGTGCCTAATAAGACAGCTGTTAGTACCATTTTTACAAGTCTTTGGTATGATTTGGCTAGAGTTTGAATCTGTGACCTGCATTTGAAGGGGATGTGCTATCCACTTAATGCCACTGGATTAGTATATTGCTTATGTGTAAATTGTTGAGTTACTGCAAGCTTTTTCATGGAATACAACTTTAATCTGCAGTAAATAAGGCATTTTATTCATTTTGTTGCTTGAAGCATATATGGTACAGAATGCAATGTCATAAAATGAGTGTTGCATCTGTAAAAGATGTAAGCATTCCCAGAAATTGGCAGCAAAGCTTAAAACTGGTGCTTACATGTTTACAGTCAACAGTAGCGAGATAGAATCAATATATGTTGAAAGATAAAACAAATGCTGTTTGCAAATTAGGATAAGTATTTTGAGTTAAACAGCAAACTGATGAAACTTATAATAAAATTTAGAAGAGTGCTAATGTTACTAGAAACATAGTTCACATGAATTATAGCCAGATATAAGAATGTGTGT